GAGAGGGGAGGGGGTGAGGGAAGAGTGAGAGGTAGTGAGACAGGGGAGAGCGGAGTGGGGAAACAGAGAGAGGGGAAAAGGGAGCGGGGGAGGAGAGAGAAGTATTGAGAGTGGGGAGACAAGAGAGAGGGAGGGGAAAGGGTTATGGAGGAGGAAAAAAGAGAGAGAGGGAAGGGAGATGGTAATGGGAGAGGGAGGAGAGAGAGTACGGAAAAGAGAGCAGGGGCATAGTGGGCTGAATGACAGTTAAAGATGTTAAGGCAAGAGTGGGCAGAGACGTGGAAAGGGAGTGGGCAGAGACGTGGAAAGGGAGTGGGCAGAGACGTGAAAAGAGAGTGGGCAGAGACGTGGAAAGGGAGTGGGCAGAAACGTTGAAAGAGAGTGGGCTGAGACCTATAAAGAGAGTGGACAGAGACGGTGAAAGGGAGTGGGCAGAAACGTGGAAAGAGAGTGGGCAGAAACGTTGAAAGAGAGTGGGCTGAGACCTATAAAGAGAGTGGACAGAGACGTGGAAAGGGAGTGGGCAGAGACGTTGAAAGAGAGTGGGCAGAGGCGTTGAAAGAAAGTGGGCAGAGACGTTGAAAGAGAGTGGGCAAAGACGTTGAAATAAAGTGGGCAGAGACGATGAACGAGAGTGGGCAGAGACGTTGAAAGAGAGTGGCAGAGACTTGGAAAGGGAGTGGGCAGAGACGTATAAAGAGAGTGGGCAGCGACATGGGAAGAGAGTGGGCAGAGAGGTAGAAAAAAAGTGGGCAGAGACGTGGAAAGAGAGTGGGCGTGTGTAAAAGAGAGTGGTGAAGGCAACGGCTTCTGGAGAGAGAAGAGAGAAGTGAGAGTGGGGCTAAATGTGCATAAATGAAAGATCACAGAAAAGAGAAAAAGAAGAGCAAATTCCAATTAATGAGTAAAGAGCATTTTACAAAATGCGAGGATTTACAAATAAAAAATGAATATAGTAGCGCAAAAGTTCTGGAAAATTATATTAAATAAAGTGGAAACCCCAAAGAAGATGAAAAGAAGAGTAAATACAGAAAAAAATATCTAAAGAAAACCGGGAGTGAAGGCAGAGAGAGTGCGCTGAAGAGAGCGAGGTAGAGAGAGTAAGAGGAAGGAGAGAACGAGAATGAGAGTGGGGAGGAGGAGCGTGACTGAAAGAGTAGAGAGAAGAGAGAAAAACATAAAAATTCAGATGAAGAGAGAGAGTGAGAGGATAAGTTATTGAGGCGGAAAGAGTGTGGTGGAGGAGAGCGAGGCAGTGAGAGTGAAAGAAAGAGAGCTTAGTAATGAGACTGAAGAAAGATTGAACTAGACAGAGAGCAGGGGGCACGAGGGAGAGAAAGAGCAAAACTGCGTACGCAAGTGAGGCAGAGCAAGTGAGAGGGCTGAGAATGAAGCAGAGAGAGAGAGAAAGAGCAGGAATAGAGAGATGTGGTAAAAAAGTGTACCCGGAGAGAGGGGTTTAGGGTAGAAAGAATTGGGATTGCGAGCGAGGCAGAAAGAGAGTGAGGGAGTAGTCGGGTAGAGAGCGAGGCAGAGGGTAGAAGAGAGGGAGAGATCGTGGCAGCTAGAGAGCGAATGGAAAGAGAGTTGGGGCGAGCAGCTCGGCCGCAGGTCCGGACCTCAGTGTCGCTTCCTCGTGTACAGTGGCAGGTCGTGCCGTCGCCGCCGCCGCTGTCGTGTGCACCCGCCACTTCCACCCGCCACATTCACCCCACCCGCCACACCCGCCGCGATGTTCAGCTTTGCCAACAAGATGCTCAACTCGCTGGTGGGCAATGCGGATGGGGCACCAGGGCCCGGGTCTGGGCCCGTCCGGCAGCCTGGGCCAACCAGAATGGGCGCACCGACCCCGCAGCGGCCCCAGGGATTGGCTGGGCACAGACCGACTGGCCCAACGGGTCTAGGAAGCCTCTCATCTATTATGGGTCAGGGCCCCGGAATGGGACAAGGCCCAGGAATGGGACAAATGAGTCAAGGCCCAGGAATGGGACAAATGGGCCAATCTCCTGGGATGGGACAAGGAATGGGAATGGGACTAACAGGATTGGGGACGACACCTGGAATTGGTATGGGTTCTGGAATGGGCCAAGGAACTGGGATGGGTCTAGGACCAGGAATGGGGCAAGGGCCCGGGATAAACCAACAGTCCGCAATGGGTCAAGGACCAGGAATGGGCCCAGGGCCAGGAATGGGCCAAGGGCCAGGAATGGGCCAAGGGCCAGGAATGGGTCAAGCACCAGGAATGGGTCAAGGGCCAGGAATTGGCCAAGGGCCAGGAATGGGCCAAGGGCCAGGAATGGGCCAAGGACCAGGAATGGGCCTAGGACCAGGAATGGGCCAGGGACCAGGAATGGGCCAGGGACCAGGAATGGGCCCTAATGCCATGACATCCACCGGACCTCCTGGAGGCCTCGGCCGACCACCCGGGCCAATGGGTGCCAGACCTCCTGGAATGGGCCCTATGGGCCCGAGGGGAGGCCCTCCCAGACCCGGAATGGGGCCACCTCGCGGCATGTCTCCTGGAATGGGCCCAAGAGGACCGCCTGGGCCCGGAATGAGACCCGGAATGGGTATGCAGGGACCCAGAGGAGGCATACCAACGAATGGGCCAATGAGAGGCCCGCGACCTGGAATGATGGGCCCTGGAGGGCCCAGACCAATGGGTCAACCTGGTGGGCCCAACGCACCCACAACCGCTGCTGCAGGTGAGGAAATATCAAAAAGTTTTAAATATTCTAATATTTTAACTAATATTTTATTTAACGCGTAATTAAATTGAATTTTTTAAGTATTAAATTCAATTTAATTTACTTTGATTAATTTTAATTTATTAATTGATTAACGCTTAATTTAATGATCGTTATTACTTAAGTGGGCCATTCACTGAGGGAAATGAGCGTGTCATATTGTCCAGATGATGACACGCTTACTGCGCGTAGCACGTGCTTACTGCGCGTAGCCCTCTTGCTGTACAAAACTGAGTCAGGATGACCCACAAAAGGTAAAAAGTATATCTCTATTTAGACAAAATCTCATTAATTTCTTTCTGTCTTGAATTGTCATGCTGTGTTTTAATCCATTTTGTTACGTTCACTCATAAAAAAATGTGTCCTAATGTCCAAATGGTGATAGAATTTCTGCACGTAGCACCGATAAGCCTTTACCGGGCCAAAATGGGTCTTGTGTGACCCACTCATGACAAAAAGTGTATCGCTATTTGAACAAAGCGTCATGCATTTCTCTGAATGTTCATAAAATTTGCTTGCATTAATGTTATTTCATATCAGAACTCGACGGAAATATCATGTCAAAGTTTAAAAAGTTCTTACAATGAGTCATCATTTCTGATGAAACGCTCATAAAATTGTGTGAGGCTGCGCCCAAATAAAGATGCATTTTTCGACCCCGTGTGGGTAATCCTAACTCAGCTTGGCCCAGAAATGCTATTAACTCTTGTATTGTTTTTTTCATTTTTAGTTTAGTCGAACTGATGATGAAGCTGGACTCCGATACGTTTTTAATATCGATATGGTGAATTTTCTTGGCGTTTTATTTGCTTTTAAATTCCTTGTGAACTTGCGATATAAGCAGACTAATAATACTCTTGTATTGTTAATTAGCGGTACGTATAAAAAGTGTCACTATTCGGACAATATGACCCATACATTTTTCTGATGAAAGTTCTGCACGGGTTCAAATCGATGCCGATTCATGTTGACACGCTCTACGGCACCATTGCGCCTCTTCACTGAGAAAAATGTTGTGAATAATTCAACTCAAAGGTTCACCTTGATCTCATATTTAGCACCATATTGTTTATTCATAGTGATTTTTTTATAATGATCAAATATCATTATAGGAGATATCATATGTAAAAAATGTTTGATTCGCTCTATTTTTCTTTGGTTAAAAATAATTGTTGACTCTATTTTTTATTCGTTTGTAAGGATTCTCACGTTAGCTGTAATTTTATTTAGAAGTGATCTCCCAAAAGGCATTATGTTCAATTTAAAATTCGCTAAAATGTATAAGAAATTCAAAAATATAGCTTATTGGAATAGGTCTACGCAATCTCTTCTGATTCTAATGAAAAAGAAACTGCATTAAAGTTTCTTAACATTTAAATTGCCGTAAACAACAACAATAAAAATATTATTATTTATATTCGAATATTAATAAGCAAGGATTATTGAACAAGTAAAGAAGGTAATTATTGCATTAATTGCAATAAATAATAATGTTAAAAACTGTTCATTATCGAATTCGAAAAAGTTAGGTGAGCGGCTCTGCCTGTCGATGTTGAATAATGATGTTGTTCGCACCTAGTAACGATTATGCATATGTTTAGAAAATTAATAATTGCAATCAAGGCTATTTTAAATCACGAATAAACTTGACTTGAATGTACTTATTTTGAAGCAGAATACTTAGGGAATGAGGGCATGTAATCCATCACTTTCAAGTTAATTCGTGTAGTTTGTACACACCTGAATCTTAAAATTCTTTTAACCCACTGGCGAATCATTAAAGTTATAAAAATAAATATTTGAATAAATACTTGAATAATAGGGAATAATATAATACTTGAATAATAGGTCCGTATTATTCAAGTATTTATTCAAATATTTATTTTTTATAACTTTAACGATTCGCCAGTGGATTAAAAGTTAAGATTTAAGAATTAAGAATTAAAGTTCTAAGGAATACACGCAAGAAACAACAATCAGACTCTTGTTAATAGAGGCTTTTAACCTTACCTGTCTCAAGTAAATGTGAAATTCCATATATATACAGGTGAATGTACAGGTGTGCCTGTATGAATGTATATTTATACCGGTAAATATACGGGTCTAAATATTGATTATACAAGCGTAACTGTTTGAATATAAATCATTACAGTCGAAAATTGAGGTGTACATGTTTAAATATACATTTATTCAGGTAAATATACAGGTGTACCTAATTAAATACCAATTTGTACAGTTATAAATGCAGGTGTAATTGTTAGAAATAAACTTTAGAAATTTCTACAGTTAAACATAAATTTTAAAATATATTCTTATTCAAGTTCGTTACTAAGTCACAGCTCGCGAAACCTGATATTTCAGGTGCCATACTTTCAAAACTGTCTACGTGAACGTAAGTACTTACGCTCTATTTTCTTGTCTATGATTGGTGGATTTTGCTTGAAAGGCCGTCAATGATTGGCTGATGAACTTACGGTCTCTTAACATTTTTTGAAAGTATGGGCCCAAGGAGACCTACAATTATTATAACATCGTGGAAATGTTCATTCAAACTTCAAGAATAATTTGAAAATTAAAGTATCCACCTCTGAATAAATGATATTTACTGTCTTAAAATAAACAGATCAAACGATAACGTGCAGTAAAATAAGTCGACTACAAAATCAAACACTAAATCTTAAATGCGCGGTTTTCATCTCGGTGTGATTTGCGGGTTCGAGACTTGAGATTTGAGTCTTCACATTTGTGGCTTTCCTCAGCACCGGCTGCCCACGGCACAATAATCATAAAACCTCAGTATTCAGCACATTTCCTCCAGTAAACTCTATAACAAAAATTAAAAACAATATATACAATAATAAAAATAATAAAAATTTCTGAACGAATATTACGGCTTCAAGTTACATTACAATAAAATGAGATTTCTATTCTTATCAATGCCACAATTATTTTTCGGGGCAGGGATGAAAAGTTTTTAAATGGCATCGAACATCGCTGCTGCAGCTGCTTGCCCGACATCAGTATTATCATTGTCTCTGATGACATGTTGATGTTCTCCATAAATTGGAAATGTAGTTTTCCCGCAAACCGAAAAACTTATGATTTAATAAGATTAAGGCAACAGGTGTTCAAAACAAATGTACGTATTATAGTGGCACTGAGGGCACTGGGGACACTTGGGGCACTGAGGGCACTGAGGGCACTAAAGGTATGGAGGCAGGTCAAGGTTGCCATTGTGCGGACACACAACCAAGAATTAATTATTCAGTTCGTGAGAATTACCGTTGGCAGTTATTATGTTACGCTAGATAATATTATCAAAAACGCTTTACTTTCGAATGAGAATCGAAGTGTAGCTTCTGGGCATTCCGCAATTGAATTGAAATGACGCGGTTATTTAATTTTAAATGGTCAGGCAACAATGCGCAGCGTCGGCTGTTTAATTTCAATGGTCAGGCAACAATGCGCAGCGTCGGCTGTTTAATTTCAATGGTCAGGCAACAATGCGCAGTGTCGGCTGTTTAATTTCAATGGTCAGGCAACAATGCGCAGCGTCGGCTGTTTAATTTCAATGGTCAGGCAACAGTGCGCAGTGTCGGCTGTTTAATTTCAATGGTCAGGCAACAATGCGCAGCGTCGGCTGTTTAATTTCAATGGTCAGGCAACAATGCGCAGCGTCGGCTGTTTAATTTCAATGGTCAGGCAACAATGCGCAGTGTCGGCTGTTTAATTTCAATGGTCAGGCAACAATGCGCAGCGTCGGCTGTTTAATTTCAATGGTCAGGCAACAGTGCGCAGTGTCGGCTGTTTAATTTCAATGGTCAGGCAACAATGCGCAGCGTCGGCTGTTTAATTTCAATGGTCAGGCAACAATGCGCAGCGTCGGCTGTTTAATTTCAATGGTCAGGCAACAATGCGCAGTGTCGGCTGTTTAATTTCAATGGTCAGGCAACAATGCGCAGTGTCGGCTGTTTAATTTCAATGGTCAGGCAACAATGCGCAGCGTCGGCTGTTTAATTTCAATGGTCAGGCAACAGTGCGCAGCGTCGGCTGTTTAATTTCGATAGTCAGGCAACAGTGCGCAGTGTCGGCTGTTTAACTTACTATAGTCAGGCAACAGTGCGCAGTGTCGGCTGTTTAACTTACTATAGTCAGGCAACAGTGCGCAGTGTCGGCTGTTTAACTTACGATAGTCAAGTAACAGCGCGCAGTGTCGGCTGTTTAACTTACGATAGTCAGGCAACAGCGCGCAGTGTCGGCTGTTTAATTTACGATAGTCAGGCAACAGTGCGCAGTGTCGGCTGTTTAACTTACGATAGTCAGGCAACAGTGCGCAGCGTTGGCTGTTTAACTTACGATAGTCAAGCATCAGTGCCCAGTGCCTGCTGTTTAATTTTAATAGTCAGGCAACAGTGCGTAGCGTCGGCTGTTTAAATAGCAGTGCCGAGAAAACGATACCCATAAATTCCATATACTTCCACTAGTGTATACGTAGTGCAGGCGTGCTCTTTCTGTGATATATAACTAAATGAATAACTGCACCCAATGTGAGATATTTTATTAACGATACTAATTTAAATAAGTGCAAGCAGTGTAGAATATTATAATAGCGATAACTAAATAAAAATGATCATTAATAATATTATAGTAATTATTAAATCTAATATTATTATTATGTTTATTATTATTCTTATTTTAAGCAATGCCGATATGAATTGTGTACGCGATTCTTGGGAGTTTGGTTTGGACCGAAAGCGAGTGGTGCGGGCTATTCGCTGCCGCGGCGCCGGCGAAATGTCCACTTTAGAGCAGCGCATCATATGGCCCTCACTCAGAAAAATGAATGAGCCATATCGTGCAAATAGCGACACACTTTCTTCTGCACGTACAACAGATACGCCCTTTTGCCGGACCAAACTGGGTTACGATGCCCCGCATAAGGTTCAAAATGTACGTCG